GTTCGTGCCCCAGCGCACCGGGGTGGCCACCGCGACTCGTGTGGTAACATGGCGCCTTGGCGCACGGAGGTGCGGGGCAGAGGCTCCCACGGCGGCATCAAACCATGTCCCCTCCGCTCAGACCAGCGCCTTCCCCTCCGAAATAACCCCAAAGTGGATCCAACCGCTTAGAATCATAGAATCAACTGGGCTGGAAAAGACCTTTAAGATGATCAAGTGCAACCGTTACCCCAGCACTGTCAAGGCCACCACTAAACCATGTCACAAAGGCCTCGTCTACCTGGTGTGTGAACACTTCAGGGACAGTGACTGCAGCACTGCCCTGGGCAGCCTGTTCCAATGCCTGAGCACCCTTTGGGGAAGCAGCTTTTCCTAATATTCAGCCTAAACCTTCCCTGGTGCAGCCTGAGGCTGTTACCTCTTGTCCTATCGCTTGTTACTTAGGAGAAGAGACTGACTCCACCTGGCTACAACCTCCTTTCAAGTAGTTGTAGAGAGCAATAAGGTCCCCCCTGAGCCTTCTCTTCTCCAGACTAAAACCTGCCAGGTCCCTCAGCCGTTCCTCATCACACTTGTGCTCAAGGCCCTGCACCACCTCCATTGCCCTTCTCTGGAACCTCTCCAGTGCCTCAGTATTTCTCTTGTAGTGAAGGGCACCTTGTTGACCTTGGTGCTGTTCCTGGCACATTCTATCCTCAGATAGATTTTGGAAACATCTCATACATGCTTAAGATCAGCAGCAAATACAACTTGCTTTGCTCTCAATCTCTCCTTTTTTACATTCACCAGAAAAGGACTGCAAGGAAGAAAGTTTTAATGCTTATGGTCTCTCTGTCCTTTCTGGTATAAATTCTTGCAGAACTTCTTCACTTATCAAGAAGTCACCACAATCTGCAATAAAAGTTTTAGAGACTTTGTAGCTAGACAGTGACTGCTGTGTTAGTGTTCATACTATTGCATTTATCAGACTAACTTCATCTAACACCCCTCCTTGGGTCTTAGAAGCACTTCTTCAGAAGCACAAAGCATTCAGTTGTTTTTTGCTTTAGTGATTCTTTCTCTTTGGGTAGGATTTTACAACTGATTGCTCTGGGTTAGACTGAGTTACTACTGTAGTAAAGCCCAGGCGAAAGAGGATGCTGCAGCACTTTTTTTCTGGGTACTATCACTAGGCATAACTAAAATCACTTAAAACTCTAGCGTCTTCATAAGCAAGTACTATCTACTCCTTCACAAACTAGAATAGCCTCTGAATATGGAATACAATGAAATTGCTTAAATGCATTTTCCTTCACTGAAGGGTAACCTTTGTATTCACAATCCCTGCAAATCTGGCTTATTCCCATCTCCTATCTTAGAGAAACAGCCTCAGCTGCTTCCAGCATGTTCTGTTTCTGAGCAAGTCTACAGGGACTGTGAGCTTTTCATTGACAAAAAGCAAGTCAATGTTTCTCAAGTCACCCTCAAAACTTCTTTCTTTTCTCCAACTAGTCCGTAAAAGCCTAAAATATCCCACTCTGGATACAACCAGAGGTAAAAGGTGGTTTTAGCACCTTTGAAGCTGCATGTCTAAGGCTGTGTTGCCTGCAGCATTGTTTTGCCTTTCGTACTGAGTACCTCCAACATCCTCTTAAAAGCCTCTTTGGTTTTAATTCCATTTTCTCACAAACAGCAATGAGGCATTCAAGAAGGAAACCAAATGGTATACGAGCCATAAAAAAAAAGAGAGACATTTTCCCAGTTTGTATTATAGTAGTACTAGTTGGCAAAGTTATCCAGGACTTCATTTTTCCCCTTACTGCAGCATCTGAAGGCTGATGAAAACAATGTTACACATGGTGGACTAGGATGGTTCCTTTTACCAGATGTCTGTCCCCTTCAGAAACTAAGTCAGGATGATGAAAACATTCTCAGCTTGTCTATGGCTTCAGGCCCAACGCATAGTGGAAAGTACCATATTACAGCTACAGGGCTGGGGGGATTGAAAAGAGAGAAGAGAGGCAACACAGGGGAACATCATGTTCCTTGAATAATTACCACTCACATCAGAGAGAGACCCTCCAAACCACAGTTGTGACAAAAAGGCAAAGCACTTGTGAGGAAGCTGGTACTGACAGTGCCAAAGGTTGTTTTTTTTACATAAGGGACTGCACTTGCCAGTATAAGCAACATGTCATCAAGTTAAAAGAAGACACAGAGTCCAATTATGCATCTGCATGTGCAGATGTTCTCTATAAAATTGCGTGCACCCACTCAAAACATACATTAATTTTGAACATAGAGGGAAATGAAATTACCAGGAAGAGACAACATGAAGTTTGAAGGTCGTCTCTGGACTGCTGCTAAGACTGGTTTCTTCTCTGGACCGTGAACTGCAGAATCTCCTTTCTCACGTAGCGCACTGGACACAGAGGGCAGAAAGACATACTGCATCACGTGAGGCACAGAACAGTAACTGCAGCCTGTCTTCAGAGGGCATGCTGAAAAGTTTGTGTTGCTAGCCTCCAAGAAATGAAAGCTTATCACCTGCAGAAGTGAACTCAGACACTAAAGTGAGGTGACAGCTTAACTCTCTTTGTAACCATGGCAGCCAACATTAAAAACTTTCTGAGCAGTAAACCCTGGAGAGAAAGGAAGTATTTTTCAAGACAGAGTCACCATAAACCTAAGCAGTAAACAAATCACTGTGTTCTTCCCGAGCTAAATCACTAGATTCTAGCTCTTCGCTGTTCTTCCTCCAAACAACCCTTAACTTTTACATGTCAGAGCTTCAGATCCCCTTACATAAAGAAAGTGTATTAGCTATCAGTTTGATAACAATGGTATTTTGATTTCTTCCCCCCCCCCGAAGTAATTATTCTACTTTACTTTTTCCCATTGATATGGAAGAGAGTATGTGACAGGACATGGGAAGACCACTACTGCCACAAGAAACACTCTTAGTTGCATATCCTTTGAAATTTTCACAAGCAAGCTCTCCCTTTTTTGGGATAATGGTCTTGTTTTCCTTCTGTGCCAAGAAACCCACACTAAAATTCTATCAAATAACTACCCCTCTGCTGTAATAAAGCCAAGTCTGCTACTGCATGTTGCAGAAGTATCTGTTCCTCACTTACCTCTCCACAAGCTGTTCTTTACGTGCTAAGTGAGCCCTGAAAACAGACTGGATGAATGGCAGCATCTCATCTTTCTCCTTGCAATCAGAAGATGAGCTCGAGGAGTTTGACATGGAAGACCTGCAGGAGTTCTGCAAAGCAATCAAATTAAAGAAAACTGATCTTTTACAGACTGCACAGAAGCTTTCACAATCTCTCTTCCCATTATGGAAGTGGTAGTAGAGCAAATATTCCCATCTTTTGGTCTGCAGTCTTTAAGGTTCTACGAAACTAAAGCAGCAGGAAATGCAAATCTGATCATCACACAAGCTTTGAAGCATCTGTATTCAGTTAATGAAAGTGCAAACACTTGCAAGGAAAGTTCATTCATTTTCCAGGAAGGAAACCTTTTGAAGTCAAAGGAGTTAAAGACAACCTTCATGACTCATAGATCTATCTTCTGCTTATATCAAGCAAAAGTATTCAGTCCTACTACTGAACTATTTGGACAGTTTACCAAAATAAAAGTGCATGTAAAGTGCAACCAGATGGACAGCCTGTATGGAGAATTACAAATTAGCCTGCTAAAGGTCCAAAGGATGTTTTACCAAAATAAAAGTGCATGTAAAGTGCAACCAGATGGACAGCCTGTATGGAGAATTACAAATTAGCCTGCTAAAGGTCCAAAGGATGTTCATCTAAGTTGGCAAATGACATAGAGAAACTAAATGTTTAATTGGTAAGGAAATATTTTCATATTCAGAACTGAACAATCTGGAGCGAGTTTGATGTGACAAAGGACACAACTCTTTGGTTGAGCATGGCACAAGCAAGACTTCTTTACTTTTCAATCCCATCAAAGATGCTTTCCAGATTCTTCTTTCTGAACTTCAGCAACAAAGGTTTATCTATTATTACAACGATCCAGTAGTGAACACTTGAGAACAAGTACAGTTTTCAATAGAACCCCAAATTAAAGAGTTAAAGGGTATGTTACTAGCTGATGGGACAACCAGCTAAAAAAAAAATAAAAAAAAATGGGAGGATTCCTATTTACAGCCCATAATGCAAAGAAGTTACAGCTTTAATCCTAAGAAAAACTGACCTAAAGAAGATGGAAAGGGAGGCTAGGGAATGAGCTTGGTATCTTTCTGGGATGACAGCTATGCTGCCAACCAGTGCATTAAAACAACATCACTGGGTGATTGAGAGAATTAAGTCTGGAAGTACCTTACGCTATAGACTAAAGATAATGGGATGCCTGGATACCCATTTGCCCCAACAATCACCTTGTTATGAGAATTTGCATCATGCGTCCTCTTCTTCAGTAACAGTTTCTGCCGACCTAAATGTCCTCTGAAAGCTGTCTGAAGTGTAATAATTGCCTAGCATAGAAAGAAATAAGTAGATGTTAGCTCCTTTGAAAGATGTTTGTTATAAATTAAACCAAGAGAGTCCAGAGGGAAGAGGCACAGGGGGAAAATAACTTTTCCCTGTGCAACAGAAACTCTTTGATGTCTTTACATTTGCTTATATTTCAGGGATATACATATGTCCCTGTTACTTCACAGGTACACTGCTGCAATTCAGAGAATGTCCAGCCTATGACAACCCATAGACTTACACCTCCATGGTTTAAATTCAATCTTGGAGGTGTTCAGGACTGATCCTATCAAATGCAGTTAAGTCCTAGCTGTCAGCACTAGCCTGTATTCCACAAAGAGAGCAACATGCTCTCATTCCCATATTAGATAGCCCAGCAGGCTCTGTGATGCTCTGGCACAAGCAGAAACCCAGCCAAGTCTGGCAGACCACCATGGTGATTACACTGAACATGTCTTTCCTCTCAGAGATTTTACTGGATTCTGATCAAGAAAAAGCATCTAGATGTAAACCAGCATATTCACATCACATGGTTTTAGAATTTGTTCTATAATACTCGGAGACAGTTCTCCTTAGCAAAGGCTTCAAATTCCTACTTCAAACGTTTCTGAAGACTCATCACGGTGAAAATTAAAACATTATTAGAATTATCCAATTTAGAAAAATTTCCTGTCTGTTGGTATCAAAGTTTGATCAAAATTTATTCTTCTTGCAGAAGGTACTAAGCACAGAAACCTTGAGACCAAAAGGGGAACACTTTGACAAGATATATCAAACAAAACCAGGATGTCAGAATGAAGCTCATGAGCCAGCCTGAAGAACAAACATGGTCTCGGTACAACAACTCATATTACAATAAAACTTCTTTAAAATAAAGAAGTTATTTCTTCGTGCTGTGATATGAATTCAGTTTGGTTTACTGTTTTGTTGGCCATCATAAGTACACTCACCTCGTCCAGATCAGTTACATCTCGCTGAAATGAAAAATGCCAAAGTTAAAACTTGTATGTGTCTGTGGCATTATCTAATAAAGATTTCCCGATTTTTCCCCAACAATTAAAACACACAGAAAATACCTGTCCTGCTTCCCTCTGAGAACTCCAACAAATGTAAGGGAACAAAATACCCAAGCTTTTCATCTTTGAAAGATGCATGGGTAGTACTTTCATCTTTAGCTTCCTAAAAAGCAATTACAAGACCCAACTCTCATCATAGGTCCTATGCATGGAAAAAGCAACATTATGTTGCAGCCCATAAAACAAAATTTAAGGTTAATGCTTTTTCTCTACATCATTTTGCCCTAGTTGAATGTAACTCCTGTATTGTTTGGAGGATTTCTGCAAGGGGTATTTAACTTCTCAGTCTTACTCCAAAAAGGCCAACAGCAGTGATGCTGCTTCAAGCATTGCTAGGCTTCCTTAGTTTCCCTGCTCACCCAGACTTGCCCATTCAGAAATCATTCTTGCAACAGAAACAACAGGATTCTAGGGAGCAAAGGCAAAAGCAGCAGCAGGCAGGACTTGAACAGAGCAGTGGAAGAGAAGATGGTGGTAAGGAATTGCACTGGGAAGCACTGCTGCAGCTCCTGAAGCCTGGTTAGATATTAAAACAAGAGTAAGGTTCAGAGGGGAATATCCTCACTATTCCCCAATAGGAGAATCTCACCTTGTCCCGATACTTCTTCCAGTACCTCTGGATGATTCTGGCTGCTTGTTGCCTCCTTTGATGATCTTTGCCTTGCAGTGAAAACTGCAAAAGAGAATCTTTAAGTTGGTACACTAAAGACACAAGTCAGAATTCTGTGAGGGAAACAGGTTACAAATGACTCAAATCAGCACCAGAGTTGTTAAATGTTCATCCTGCCCACAGGGCATAAGGAAGTTAAAGAGGAAACTCTTAGTTTGGAATACTGGTCTTGTTCAAACTCATCATCTAGATGCCTGTTACACCAAAACACATACCTGTCCCCATTTTAGCTGTTAGCAGAGCATGGGAACGGAAAGGTTTTCATTTACACATACTCCTATTTTTATATGCATTGGCAAAGCAGTAAAAGCTCCAACAGTGGAACCCACTGCTTTGTTGATCAGAAATAGCTTGTATATTATCAACAGACTGAGAACAAATGTCAGGATACCAGATTTTGCAATTCTTCTCCAGGAAAGACTGGTGCTAATTAACTGGGGAGCTCTCTGATATCTCATCCTGGCAACTGCGGTCCCATAATCGCCTGTTTAAGCTTACTGATGAGTTTGCCACCATATGACTCCAACAAGGCAGAGAGCTTGTGTAAATTGGCATAACTCTACTTTTCTATCTTGAAGAAATTAATTAGAGGTAAAAGAAACCAAGAACAAAACAAGATTTTGCTCCAGTTATTTCTTCTGAGGTGTGGTTGCATGCTCCACCTCTCAACAGTTGATCCTTTTGATCCCTAATTATCCCATACTAATTGTCATACCTCACTTGCCAAACAAAAGTTAGCTGCAATTTTAAAAGACTAATTTAATTTGTTGGTGTAAAATTGTAAGTAGAGGAATAAGAGACTTTGATAGACTCTGGAAAAAAACCCTCTTGATTCTGTGAAAATGATTTATTTATAACCTAAAACACTGAGTTACAGGCTTAAGTTTAGCAAATGGATCATATTATATTAAAAATGACAACCTACTATTAAAACAAAAAATTGGTAGGAACTTAGTGATAATTACAAATAATGGGAACATTTCAATAAATGGATGGTTACTGGCCAAGAATATATATATAGTCTGCAGAGGAAAAAAAAGGAGCTGTTTGTTGGCTGTTTTTAAAGCCTCAAGTTATTTGGTATTCAAAACATCATCTAGCATCCATCAGCCTATAACTCACAAAAAAGAATCTGAAGAGTTGCACACTGTATAAAAAACCAGCATCCTCTTAAGCGAGTGGACATTTTTATTCATAATTTTTTACTACCTGTATTTCAGGGTCTATTTAATTTAAGTACAAGTGATCAAAATCCCCAGTAATAATTTTCAACTAGTTTTTAGTGAAATGAGATTAACGTGACCACACTGCATGTGAAAGCATGTCTGTCAGTGGCCAATTCATCCCTACTGGCCAGTGACAACAACGTTTGTTAGAGGGACAGAAGACTATAAAGATACCGAGTTAAATCATAGTGCACCAAAAAAAACCCCCAAGTGATGAGAACTCCATCGAAGACTGTCCAGGATTAACAAGTATACAAATATATTAGATACAGGAAAATCCAGACAGAAGAGGTTATGAATACCTCACCTCTAGAAAAACTTTAGTTCCAAGGGGGATAAGGGTTTTTTTTATTTATTGACATCCTCCCTAATTCTTTACTCAAATACAGTGTCCCATCATCAGTGGAATTGAGAAAACCTCAATTTTTATGATTAGTGCTCTACATCCTGTAACCCTTCCCATGGAAAAATACCCTGACTCCATCCAAACAGAAAGGCTAATGAATATTGTCCGAATGGACAGCACACATGCCCTAACTGAACACCTGACCAGGATAAAAACCAATGAAAAGGGTTTTGTGTCTTTTGCCAGTCTGCCAGTGACTTATCACACTTACCTGTGCCTCTGTCCTTTACCTATCAACTCCTACAAGACCTTCCTCCTGCTCCAAAACTGGACTGAAATTATCTAATGGGTTCAGATGTTATAAGAAGATACAAGGAAACCCACAGATGTCTTTCTTTTTAAGTAAGTCAAAACCCCCAAACACTTGAAAGCATAAACTTTTTGCAACATTCCACTGAATAAGGAAAAAGTGAAGACAGATAATCACCAAGAGAATAGCTCCAAAAAAAAAAAGCCAAGTTGCAGTGGCAATTATTGAAACAACTTATCAACACATGCTGGGAATTAATCATCATTCTGAATCTCTATGACAAGATTTAATGCCTCTCTGAAAAAACACAACTAGCAGCTATTTAGACTATCAGCTCAATTTGCAATCTATTGCTTAGAGGCAAAGGGAAAAAAAACAACCCACCACCACCACCCAAACAAAAACATGTGTCTGTACCTTAAGAAGCTTTTCCACTTTATCTTCTGCCATTTGACTCTTCTTTTCCTCTTCTTTTGGCTCCAGTTTCCCTAATTTCTGTGTCAGGTTCTGGATTTCCACTCTAAGGTTGGAAAAGCAAAGATATTTACAGGTAGAAATTTTCTGTTGTTCCTGCTTTGAAAATATTCAGCCTATTTTATAAGATTTGGCTGCCTTGTTTGTTTGTTTGTTTGGGGTTTTAAGGCCAAAGTGGGAAACTGCTCAGAATAACATGATACATATTCTCATAGTAAGAGACATGTGGCATCAGTTCTCAAGTTGTGACAGCACAGCCTTATGCTAACATTAAAAAGTCCCAATGGTACCTTCGATACTTTTAACAATGCATTTAGATCTACTACAGTTTCATATTTGTCAAAGCCCTTTCTTGCAAAGCGGTAATGAAATCACTTCTTTTAGCCACTCTTGCACAGGATTATTATCAAGTTATACAAAATACATGAAGTATTACATTCTCAGTTACAAATTACATAAAGTAAATGGAATGACATATTAGCAATGGTTTAGAAGTACAGGCTAAGATAAAGATACTACTGTTCTTAGAAAGAAAAAATGTCTCTGAGGCCCACATGGTAGCTCTGTTCTTCCATTTACCTTATTAATTTTTATTATAATTAAATTTTTAATATTTTTCCTATACTATTTGGTTTTCCACTTCCTCTAAAAACACTCTGTAGAATTCTTCCTCTAGTAACTTACTCCGTCCCTGCAAAACAGTTCTGCTTAAATGAATTCCCAGCTTCCTCCAGTTCAGATGAACTTGTATGGATTTTTACCCCCTTCAAATGAGAATTATACTTTTGATGGGTATTTTTTTGTGGTTCTGAAGGGATCTACTAATACAAAATCTGATTCCTTAGAGTATGCTCTCGTGTACTCTTCTCTGACACTTCTCCTGTATATCTTATTCTGACACTTCTGCAGCTCCAGCTCCACTTGAGCCTTAGCCTGCAGTAACTGCTTGATATCTAATTTACAAAAGTATAAGGAGATCTAAGCAATACTTCAGACATCCATACTTCAACAAAGTTACTGTTTGATTAAACTCCTAAATAAAATAGGTTCTCTCAAATTGGTAAAGTAACTAAATGTTTAATTTTTCCCTTTTAAACAAAACAAAATGAAAGTATACATTGTTCAGAAGCAAAAGGCCTCTCCACATGTTCATGTTTGATTAGAGGCAAGTTACACAGAAGGCAGCATCTTATCAACACCACATAGCTGTGTACACAACTCTGCTCATGCGAGAGATTAACCTGCCTGCCCTTATGCACTGACACACCAAATGAGTCCAAGCAATACAAATTGCAAATTGATTGCTTTCTGGAAGAAAAGGAGTCCCAGTGCATCACATGGCAGAAGGCAGCCTTAAAGGGAGAAAGTGGTAGATCAGGACAAAACATTGAAAAATAAAACATGACAAAGTTTTTACAGCAAAATTCTTGCAAGAAATGCTGTGTAAAGTGACATATAGTCCTTAAAAGGCTTTTCAGTGCAGTTGGCAAAAAATACACCTTGAAAAAATGTGTTAGAAACAAGCAGAAGTTCTCATTTTCCAGCCTCTCTGACTTCTTTTTTTCCTGCAGTGTAATTTTACAGGGCTAGCAGGACTAGAAGTAGTTTTTGAAATAAAAGCTGAAGGGAAACTCAAAATTCATTTTCTTGCTGAAAACGTGAAGGACTTGTTACATCATTTCACAACGTGATAGGAAATAATTTAATAACTCATACATCCTGAAGAACAACATCTTAGACAAGAGTTGCACTTACTCTTTACTAAGCAGGAAACTTCGAAGTGCCCTCTTATCTCTCTGGAGTTTCTTCACTAGCCCTTGGAGGTGATGACATTCCTCAACATAGTCTACCTGTTGAGAGGCTGGATGATCCAGGTCTTCAGTTGAACATGGTGGAGCAAGTAACTCTGACTCACAGGTATCTACTGATGGCACTCTGGCGTTTTCCAATGCACATATTTTCTAAACAGGATAAATTTACACAAAGGAAAAAAAAAAAAGGGGGAAGAAGAAAAAAAAAAAAGAGAAAAAGAGAAGAAAATTAAATTCAGCATAAAACTATTTATTTAGGCCATGAGAAAAGATCAACTGGAAGTTACTTCTCAAATGTGTATCTCATGTAACAAGTATGAGAACAAAAAGGGAGGAGGGACACACAGCACAGACATCAGCTTACATATATGAGGCAGAACACACAAGGCTGACAGTTTGAAGGACTACACACCACGAGCACAAGCCAGTGGTTCTGCATCTTCTGCTCATAGACAGGTAAGATCATGATCACTTACTTTTTCGAGTTCCGAAATCCGCCTCACCAGCCTGGGTTTGCTCCACTCACTATAATCTAAATACAATAACAAAGTTTTAAACATGAAACTGTATCAGTGAGTCAACATTGCTCTTGCTTTTTTGAAACTTGTGTCCATATAGAAAGACCATCTAAAGACCTCTGAACCCCAACTGTAAATGTGCACCAATGAAAAATTGAGAATAGTCTTAAAATATCTGATTTCTACACCAATTACTTATTAATATCCATATAAACCATTCACATTCATTGGTTTTCAACAACTGAGAAAGTTTTCCAGTGAAACATTTTATTTCAAGAGATTCCAGTCCAGAATTCTCAGGGATAATAATAAAGGAAACCTGTGTCTGTCTGGAACAGCACATCCAGAAGTCAGAGACAGACTCCTGTAAGAAACTTCTTATTCCAACCTTTGCCCCTCCTGAATGCTCACACTTGTAATAACGCCCTTATTTGTACCAGTGTAGTGTCCTGCTCTCAAACACATCTTTCAAATGTACCCAAGTCCCTTGCCCCATGTTCACCAGCTTTTGAGCACGTACCTTCTGTTTCATTGGAAGGAGAAGAACCACACAGTACATGATCTAAATCTTCTTTCAGCCTCCGATTCTCAGCCTGCAAATTTTTGATGGTCCTGGATAATCTCAGGACAGCAGCATTCAGTGCCTTGAGGTGTTTTTGGGTGTCTCTGCTCTCTGTACTTTGAAATGGAATCAAAACCAGAAAGTTAACTTAAAAGCAGAGAACAAAGCAGCAGCATTAAAAATTGAGAAACAGCCTCACTATGTTACTGTCTCATCTCCCCTCCAATGGCATTTCTCAACATTTTTACTTGAGTTACCTATTCTGTTAGGAAAAAACATGCAAAGACCATCTTGCTCAACACTTCCACAACTGTTTTAATTTGTGTCAAAGAAAGAAAGATACTTTAAAACTCAGAAAGTTCATTACTTCTACTTCATCCCCCACTCTGTTTCATTAACACATAAGGAAGGGTGCTTGTATGAGTTTTACTTATTTGGTTTTCTATTTGTTTTGTTAAACAACCTTATAATGTTTTACTGGCGCTCTGTGGACAACTGATTTCAAATCATTTACCTTCAGCCAACTGGGAGACTCCTCCAAACAACTGTTCAGCATGGAAAGCTAACCTGTGTGCTCTGAATTGCTTTCTTTCACTTAACAAACAGATTGATATTGGGAGAGAGAGAGGGCTATAGATGGAATAACTCTCAAATCCAACACGCAAGTGTATTTTGAGATGTGAATGCTGCTCTAGGGTAAAAGAAACTATTCCTGTGAAACAAAACCCCAGAGAGATCTCTTTCTTCATTCAAGATACATTTCAATCAATGTGAGATTTCAAACAGATTTGAAGAATATAGCTAACATCGATGTGATGTGAACAAAAGGCATCAGAAAAGAGAAAGCTTGTTATGTGTTAAAACTGTTAAACATATTACAGTGACTTTGCCTTTTTGATTTTTCTAATACATGGGGAAGAAATATCAGTTTCTAGATGTGAAAAAATGTGTAAGTTTGTGCACAAAACAGATTTCTAGTGAGACAAAATACTTTATTGCTATGAGAAAGTTCTTAAAAGCTTACTTATGGAAACTAAAGTTTGAAGTAACTGATGGACCTACTTTTGGACAAATGACAATGACAGAATAGTTTGCAAAGGAATCTTACATCCCAAACCACTGGAATAATTACAAGGTAAAGGGAGAGACAAGTCTACAGTTAGCACATCAGGTTGAAAAGCTGAATCTAATCTTGCTTTTGAAAATGAAAATGAAATGAAGGCACATAAACAAATAAGGCTGTCCAGATGTCACGGATGGCTATTCCTACAGCTGTCCCAGGCAGGAGGTAAAAAAACCCCCAAAACTAAAACACAACACAACCAAAAATGGGAAGTGATAGAAATGACAACTGTATCGCTGAGTGATATGATTTTAGGCTTATCCTAAAATGATGAGCCTTAATGAAAGAATTGCAGACCATTCTGAGGACTGGAAAGGACGCCTAGTTTCTAGCTGCAATTGGATGCTACAGCTTCATATGTAAGTAACCATATTTCAGCATTAACACTGAAAAAGAAGAGCTAAATGTGATTTACTTCAGCCAGAAATAATGTAGACAAGCATTGTGAAAGAAACACTCTCCTACAGTTCTATGTGCCAGAGTCGTGAACTTCAACATCATTTATTATTTCAGTGCTCAGCCTCTCGAGTAGAGACTGACAGTCACATAATGGAGAGAGACTGCCCTGACCACTGCTTTTTGAAGCTATGAATAAATTGAGGACAAGCAAGAGACCTGATGGCTCATTTTCACCTGTAAATAAATGAGGTGTGATGGCTTACAGCCTCCAGAGGCCAGTCACTGCATGCCTGAGCCAAAAGAGATCTTATCTTTTTAAAAACAGTGACAAAACAAATTGCAGTTTTCAATCCACAAGACACAGTGAATTAGGGAAACACAAGTAATACATCATGACCCATAAAGAGTTCTCATGTGTTTCTATCAGTCTAAATAATTACACCCCAAATTAAGACAGTTGTCTGTACTTAACACCAGGAGGACAAGCATGTTTTGAAGTGGTGGGGTAACAGATTTTCCAATCCTCCATTACCCTCTTCTCAGCAAGAATAACATTCCCTTGCATAGACGCTTTTAATTTGCTGTCTTACTGGAGCTTTTGCCTTTGTGCTGTTGATTTTTATTTCCTCTATAGACTATTTGCTCTCATCACCATGTATGAACCCACATAGTAGTGACAAGCACTAGCACAAGCTTCTCTGAGAGTTTCCTTCTAGTGCCAATCATGGACATCTCACAAAAGCTGCCCTGACCTGTAGATCTGTCTCCGTACCACAGGAAAATGTTTACTCCAAAATACCTTATTTGCAGCACATACCATAGAGCAAGATGCAGATCTGACTCAAGGGTAAAATGCCAAACATTTTGAGTGAGTTTGTTTCAATCTCCGGTGGTATCAGAATAGGTGTGATTATGGAGGAAGATGGATTTTATTTAACAGATAAATTTTCAGAGCTTTCATGTACTTCTCAAATAACTCTTTTTTCCCCCACATCCACAAAATGATCTACGAGGAAAAGATTTGACTAAGACATATGCCAAGGCTGTGAAGCCAACCAAAGCAGTACCAAAAAGCAAATCCAGCAATCTAAATGACAAAATAAGTTGTTCCCATGTAGTTGTTTTCCACCAGTTAAAATAATATATATCAAACACATATATGTAAACATTTCCCTCAAAAGAATTTAACATACTTTTTCCTCATAGCCTCAGATTTCTTCAGGAGCTGTTGGAGATGATGAATCTGTGAAATATGAAATACAGATTCCATTAAGGAGAGAGCTGTGGAAGCTGACATTGCTAATGCAACACATTTGTCCATTAGGTGAAAACCAGAACAAGATTCTTTGGACAATAATAGAGGCAATGATGCCAGGCTACTGTTATATTGGGTTTCATCTAGACACTACACTTATGGATATACTTTCTAGACACTATACTTATGGATATATTCTTTATTTCCCCTTTTTGGCTAACACACTCAACTTCTTGAGGAAAAAGGGTTTTTTAATACATATAATTGGAGCTAGGAGAATATCAGATTCTACTGACAGGTACACCTGAGCTGTAAGAAATCTATCTAAACCAGTCCATTTATACTTTGACTCAACCACTGAAAAACTTCCTCCTCTTACGCACATGGAAGGACGCACCAGACATACCTCTTCAGAGCAGGTTTCCATAGCTATCTTCATTTCTTCCAAATTAGTGGACTTCATTTCTGCCTGGAATTTGCTAAAATAGAATAATCCAGTCAGACCAGCAAAGATGCTACAATACTTTTTCATTTACAATTTCTGGGTGGGCTGTTTATAATTACTAATATGTTTTCAGAGTTCATTAAAACATCTTAAGGGACAGAAGAATACAGACTAAAAATAACATGGACTTCAAATTGCCTTTATCATCTCATCTAATACAAGCCTCTATCATATCCCCTAGCCAAAAAAGTCATACTTAATAGTCTTGTCTCTCTCCTTGCACAGTTGTTGTAGCTTAAGAATCTTCTGCTTCAATCCATTAACCACCTACAGAAAGAACAAAGAGCTCATGAGTCCTGTTTCTTTACTGAAGTTCTATTTCTCCATAATCTTGCTCTGTCTTTATAAATTGTACCTAATAAGATACACTTATTCCTATATACTTCAGTACTTAGTAAATCATATGCATGTCTGCTACCCTCTGTGAAAGGGCACACTGATGAAATCAGATACCTAATTTAAGCTGGTTATGTTACCACAGATATAATATTTACATGCAATCATTAAATAAAAAACATTTTGCCCATCACCCTGCTAAATTCAAAGCAGCCAGTAATAGGGAGAATGCTCCATAAACACATCCAAGACAATGACAAAGAAAGCTCCCTAAAGTAACGTTAATTCCAGATCTTCGTTACTGGTTTCTTATCTGACTATAGACATAATGGTTACATGATTCCCTAACTGCTTATTCCTTCTAACTTCACATTTATTTAAATTAGTAGTGTTTCAGCTTGACATGAGGAAAAAGGGAAAAAGGAAAGCAAAAGGTAACGAAGAAACTATTACCCATCCATTATTATTCATCTTTTCTGACAAAGCTTGTGCCATCTCGGAGCCCTGTAAGGTAAGACAGATAAAGCAAGTGACAAACCTTGCTACTTTATTGTACTACTGGCTCTTTCAACATAATTTACTATCCTACTCATCTCCACAGCCATTTAGCAGTCCAACAGCTTCAGTTCTGAAGTCCCTGTGCTCGTTGTTTTATATTAGCACACTTCTCTCAAGATGTAGAACTGCACACAGAAAGTGACAGCCACAAGGATTTCTGCGAAATTCAGGTCTTCTGACCATGACCCTAAATGCTTCTTAGCCTTGTGGGCCTGCCAATAAAGCTCATCTTTTACTTCCTGGTTCAGGTCTCAGGACTGCCTGCATCAGTCACCATCCAAGAGGCTAAATCCCTTTTACTCTCGGGAAAAATATGCAGAAAGCAGGCCTCTACAGAGACAGCATTTCATTTTTACCTTCAGATATGACAAGTATCTTTGCTAAGTAAATTTATTTGCACATTATGGCATAATCCTCCTTTGAACTGAGCTGGCCTGGTAAGCCGAAATACACAAAACAGAAATCCCTTCACACTAACCAACCACCTCTCATAGTCGAGCTCATCATTCCTAGAAACAATCACACTACAGACTCCTGAAACATGGAGAGACAAGAAGAGGATCACACTGCTCAGCGCTCTTTTGCCCCGCTTTTATCCCCCCAAAAAGTAGTCACCTTGAAAGGATCCAGCAGTTTTTCAATCTGTTTATCCTTTATATTGATCATTTCTTCTAGTCGACGAAGCTTAGTTTTCATTTGATGTCTCTCAATTTTCTGAGCTTGTATTGTCTAAAAGAGGGGGCAAAAAATCATAAGCATATCTCAGAAACAGAAATGCACCGAGTTTTCACATGGAAACACATTTTGATGTCAAAAACAATCCAATTACGATGGTGAGGATGAAGAGGAAAAAAAAAAAGAAGAACTAAAAAAGACACCACCACACTGGGCTGGGGCTGACAGATAAGGGAGGTGACAGGGCAAAGATAAAAGCAAAAGGTTTAACGGAAAGACAGTCTTACACAAATGATCTACAACAGCCAAGATGTTTGTCTATAGGTATCCCTAGTGTTCAACATGCCCAGTCCTCATGTTTCATACACTGCACTAAACTGAAAATGTATAAAAATGTGATGGGTAACAGTCAGGAAGGAGGGAAGGTAAAAAAAAGAGGTGGAGACAAAGAAACCAAACGCAATGAACCTTTTCAGCATCCAGCTAGGGCCATGGCTGGGGTTCAGCATTGGATATACCTCAAGGCTTCCACATCCAGTACTCAGAAGCATCTATCACACCATAAGAACAGTGAAATTGCCTTAAACAGACACAAGTTTAGTTTAGCCTTACATTATAAGTGCAAAAAAAATTTGGTGGATGTCCCAAGTTGTAGAAACCAAAGTAATCTGAATCAATAAGGCCTGGAAGGAGCAACACTCTGATTTTCTGTGTAAGTATCAGAGAGACTGTACCTTTTTCAGTTCTATAATTTCATCATACATATCTTCTTTTTCCTTGTAGTTAGGATTTCCAAGAACGTAGCCTACAGAAAAAGGTATGTAAAATAAGCTGATCCAAAAGAAGTATTTTTAAATCAGAAATCTTACAGTTAGAGGAAAACAGCTAGAACAGCAGCAAACTGGAAAGTAGGCTTTCAGCGTGAAAATTGATTTTAGAAATGGAGGTGAAATGGAAATGTTACTGTATGAAACTTCTGCTAGATTTTACAGCCAGTTTCTCCTAATTTCTTCTCTATGGTGCTAGATTGAAATATCCATCTCAAGAAAGATCTACACTTCATAGAAACTGCAATCTTCCCATCCCAACAAAATTATTTACAATTCTGAGAGATTCTCATAATACATTTCTCTTTCTGCCTAACATGTAAACGTTTATCATCTTTCAAAGTTGCCAAAAACCGTGTACTACCAGCAACAGCATAGGTGTCATTTTAAATGGAAGTGGGATTCTTTAAGTTTGTAGTTCTCCTTTAAGAAAAGCAGGATAAAAGTTTTACATTTTGCTCTTCTCATAAAACTCAATTAATTTAGTATCACAACCACATGACAAAACAAGAGAAGAAGTAAAAGGAGTCAATTACATAGAATTTGAGGCAAGCAGATGGTTTCTATCAATGGTTCCTAAACTATGTTTTGCAAAGTCACAATAAATTGTCTACAGCTGGCCCATTGAACCATATTATATTTGCAACGTTTTCAGCTGCAAATGCATGGCAATTTGCACAAAGTTCTGAAAGCTAATAGAGATTCATTGCTCCCAAAAATTTGGAACCCCCTGTCTTATCCAATTTAGAAATCTCAAAACGTACCTCATGGATCATATTTCGACACATATTTTAATACAGACTAAACTGAAATGGCTTTTGCTTTACTAAAGCTAAGATCTTAAGCAGTGTGTGCTTTTACACAGAAAAACAGATCATTAACTTTCATGTATCACACCATTACATAGTTTACCATTGCTAGAAGAACGAGAATGCTTTGGCTTCTTTGTTCCTAGAACTTCCTTCAAATATTCCGGAGTGCTACTAAAACCAGCTTGCATATGGCCCATGTCAACATCTGACTTCAGAGGATTGCTCACTCCTGCCAATAAAAATGGAACAAAAATGCAGAAAACCAGGGATAACTGTGAATTAACTTTGTGGATTTATTCTGAGCAAATGCAACACAGAAAGCTCCAGATGTTTTAATTATTCCCTCTATAAATGCCAATGCTTAAGATCACATAATTCCAACCACCCAAACAAATAATAATGACATGACTTTGTATGTAGCCTATAATGAAACATAAATCTGTTTTTTAAGAGTTTATACATTAAGCTCTCCATAACACTGATTTTTACCCATATACACAGATAAATTTTCTACACTGATACCTTGTTTCAGTGATCTTAGCCTTGGGGTTTTTACAGCTGCACTCTCAAGATATTCACTGCCTGTTCCCTGAAGAGATGGCCAAACTGCAGCTCTTCTGGAATACAGTTGTGTGCTGTATGGAGATCCTGTAACAAAAGAAAATATCTCAGTGTTGCCTTAAAAAGTTCAAGATCACAAAAATCTTGTCTTGTACTTCAAGGCTCACATACACAATCCTATTACTCATAAAAATAGAAATTAACAGCATACTACATATTGATTTCTAAGGATCAATGGGACATTCAACTACAGGGGGAAAAAATCATTATAAAGAAATACAAATCTAATTCCAAAAAGAAGGAAGAGGCTTCAAAAGATGCATAGTGACAGTAATATGATTTAACACACGAAGAAATAGTTACAGGTAACAATGCCTATCCAAACCATACTGTATCTGCATGTCTAAATTCATATATTAAATTGATCTTTGAATTAATCTACACTTTTTGCAGTAATCAAAGAACAGAATCTGTCTGATGCAACTGCTGGGGAACCCCTCTAATTACTACTTCAGGTATAGCAGTCAGGTTCAAATACCGACAATAATTCCACTTCAGATTATTAGCACAGACATGCACTAAATGGGCTAACTAGTTACTCTTAAAATCACCAAGAAAAGTACATACATTAAGAAACAATGTCACAAACATCACGGTGGAAAGGAAACAGCTATTTTAAAATCCATCATTTAGGCAAACAAATGGATTTTAGGAAAAGCATTAAGATAGAGGTACAACATGCCTCTTCCTCAAGCTAAAGCAAAATTTAGAAGTAAAATATTATTTAATTTATTAGAAACAAAACAAAGTAATTAAAATCAGCAACACTTTGAGGTAGTGTCTTCTTTGAAACATTTGCTGGACCTATCAAAAGGAAAGTAAATGGAAAAGAAAGAAACATAAACCTCCAAAAGAAAAAAGACAAAGCACACATTAAAACTGCAGATCTAACAATAACATTGTACTTCTAAGGTGACATGAAGAAAAACCCAAACCAAAACAACACAAACAAAACCAACCAACAAATGAAACAGAGAACTGTATAATCTACAAACACAGCTATCTACTAGATGGGAGGTAGCTGCAGGAATTCTAGATTCTTTCTGTACAGCAAGTATCAGCATTTCTCCAGAAGACAAAGTGAAAAAGAAATTCAGAATGCTTGCCATTAGAAGTGATAACATGAGAAGGAAGTAGTTCATGCTGAAGAAGCAAGAACTGCAACTAACCTACTAACATAGAATCATAGAATAGTTAGGGTTGGAAAGGACCTTAAGATCATCTAGTTCCAACCCCCCTGCCATGAGCAGGGACACCACACACTAAACTACGTCGCCCAAGGCTCTGTCCAGCCTGGCCTTGAACACCTCCAGGGTTGGAGCATTCATAACTTCCTTGGGCTACCCATTCCAGTGCCTCACCACCCTCACTGTGAAGAACTTCTTCCTTATATCTAACCTAAACTTCCCCTGTTTAAGTTTAAACCCGTTACTCCTTGTCCTACTACTCATTATTTAGCCTATAGAAGTCTAACTTCACAGATTATAGAACACATCTCAGATAGGTGTGCTCTGCATACACCAGTAAATAATTCTAAAGAAAATAATACGATGTTGTTTCAAGTGAATCTTCCAGTCCCTGTGTCCCACAGATCTCTTGTTCTGCAATAACAGAAGCAGAATTAAAAATTTTGCTACTTACTATTTGGTAACTTTGGAGGCTTGGTAAAAAGTTTCTTCTTTAACTTCTGGAAGAGAAAAAGAATTTTTTATGTATTTAAAATATTCCACTCTTCAAAGATTTCCGCATATAATTCTCAAAGCTGGCTTCAATCTCCATTTTGTATGAAGATAATTTGTTCTAAAACCAGAGTAAGAATATGCAGATTTGGCAACGGTCACCAGAATTAAGGTGGTGCCTACCAGAGTTTTACACTACAGATAAAAATAGTCTACTCATGCTCAGAACACTAAGACTTTCCCATCAGTATTAAATAGGAGTAGCAGCAAATTCAAGATGATCACAGAGTAGAGGCTAATCTATAGAAGCATTTAGCTAAAAGGAAAGACTCAATTCCATTAAAACTCTGTAAAAGGATTACTTAAGCTCATAACTTGATAGAACAGCAAAATGAAGCCAAACATCATTTGCAGCCCCCAGTGCTAAGAATTCAGAAGCCAGAATTACATCTGGAATTAGAGGTTTCCTGAATGAACTACACTGCAATAACGTCGTTAGCTCTCCTCCCTGAAGGGTGTCTTATCGACCAGGAGACATCATGCTGATGTAGAGTGTGCAAGAACATGCCAAAAGGCCTTCTAACGCATTCATCCACAGCACTCCATTAATAAAACTCACAATTTCTGGATCCAATTCACAGGTTATCGCAGACGGGCCGTCATCTCCCTGGGAAATAAGAGGCATTAACTGTGACACGTGCTACTAAACAATTAGTTATAATACACACCCAGAAAACTTTATATCCTTTTACTATCACAACAAAGTTAGAGTGCAATAAATTCAAACGGTAAACGCGTCACCACTGTTGTAAAACCCAGCATCATTTGCTCCAACACAAATGTTCTGTGTGATAAAGTGCAAGTCACTTCACCCTTGAGCCACAGAGACTTATGCACTTCAGTGCAGAGCATTACAACAGCTGAACCTCCTGGTGCCTCGTCTTCCATGGTGCTGGATCTGCACAGATTTCCACCATCAGTCCACCAGTAAGAGTTAAGCAGCAACTCATCCACCTGTCCTCTTCCTCACTGACTTGTTCCTACCCTTCCTATGCCATGGGAACATTCAGTAAACTCAACTAGAAAAGTGATAAGGCTGAGGGAAAAAAAAACCCAAAGCAAGGAATCAAAGAAGTGGTTAATTTTTATCTCAGCTTGAGCAAACAAGTTTCTCTGCTTCTCAAATATAGGCATAGCCACTGTAGAAGGAAAATTCTGCTTTGCTTTCAAGTTACCTGAGTGTACACTGCCCTCGCAGGAAGAACATCTTCACTTACTGCTGTCTCCATTGGGCTCACAGCTGCAGCATGAGTCTTTGGACAGATGCAGATCTCTGTAAGAAGCAGGGCCGGGTGAAGTACTTTTGAGAACCTTAGCTGACAGAACAGGGGCTGGGACTGACAACAGCAGAGCAGCTGCTTGTGCTGGCTGGCAGCAAGCAAGTATACATCTCACACACCATGCCATATAGTTTAATTTCCTGAGGCAATGTTCTTTGCAGCACACTGATTATTTGTTGTTATTTTAAGGCCTCTCACTGTGGGAGATCTCTCCACCCAACTGCACCTATCAAATTAGGAATCAGAGAATACAGAAAGCGCTCAGCCTTGATAGGAGATGGTAAACACCGCCACATTCACCAGGATATTAACGTGCAATAACAAAAACATCACTCCTAGGAAACCTTTACCCCCTCTTTGCTTTTGGAATACAGGCCCAACAAGAACCACCTACAACAGACAACAAGAGCACATGG